TTCGCGATTTGCAAATATTAATATAAAGGTTAATAAAATTTTAAACTCACTTCTTCTGGAGGTGCAGCATGGACATGAATAGTTGGTACCGATTCTTTTTTCGGGAGCAGCTTCTTAGCAAAACCAGATTTATACTGAACTTTGTTTATAAAGAAGTCTGGTGAGAAATGATTCGCGCAAACATGAACGCATTGACGTTGATCGTGGGGAATATTCCCTTCGTAAACAAAACTGGTTTGGATTTAGGAAGATCAAAATAACTGTGTTCGTTATTACACCCAAGAACAGAACAACACAATCGCTTAGACGCCATTCTGCTCCAGCGTATCAACAATGGCGGACTATAGTCTATGATGACTGACAGCGCGCTCAGGGCGAGTCTGTGTTGAAACACTGCTGTCAATCAACAACCGCGGGAGGGGCGTCTGTTTTATTGACGTCACAAAAACGAACGCTCAATTTGAGGCGGGGAAAAAATTTGGATTGTTTTTTTATCATTATATGATGGTTGTGTACAGACACTGCCATCACACATTTCAGTACAATCAACTTGAAAATAGGTTACATTTGATAATTGATTAAATATTGACTAATAGTATGGCTTTTTTTAGTTGAAAAAGTTAAAAGAGCCTCACAAGGTGTACTGCTTTAATTAACATATTTTCAACACCAACAAATTGAAAATGGGATATATTTAGTGAAGACTGTCTGTATTTTATCAATATCGGTTCCTTTCTCTAATTGATTTTCATGTCATCCTCTCCTGTTGTGAACTTCCACCCCACCCCACCCCCCTCTCGAACGAGAACCTCCCGTGAGATTTTGACGTGAAGATGTCATGACAAGCTTGGCCTTTCTCTCTTTCCTGCGGCTTGTGCGGCCCATGGCCAAAAGGTTTTGTGGCGAAGGGATTGTGAGAGGCCTGTTCCTCTCCCCCTCCACTCGGCTTTACCCCTCTGGTTCCCATCCGCTTCCGAAGCTCTTAACAGCCCGAGCCGAGAGCTCGTAACCCCCAGCACACCCTAATGAGAGACCTGGGGACAATGCTGGCATTGTTTGGTACCTCAGCCCAAGAACAATGGATGTTTACCCAAGCAGTTGTCCGACCCAAACTCTACCGTTGATTACTGTTGGGTCTCCTGATTAACTCTGCTCCTCGCCCCAGCACAATGGATCCTTTGACTGGGCCACCGTAAGCCCCCTCCAATTTGTCCTCCCCTCCTTTACTTTTTCTCTCCATCGCCACTCTCAACAGAGAACTCCATCATGGGACCCGAGAGAGAGCAGCGTCTCTCATAGGGCTGAAATAGCGCTGCTTAATCGCCACACACTTCAACGGAAAGACGTTAATAGAAGTCTGGAAAAAGACTCCAACTTTAGTATTGTAAAAATTGATTTAAGCCTTAATATTGCGACTAAAATAATTTGTGCTTTAAAACGTTGTTTTTGAAAACATCCTCTACATATTTATTTGTCGAGTGTAAAAGGTTTGCTGAGAATATCAAGTGAAAATGCTTTTTAGTAATCTAATATAAGTTTAGCAGAGTGTTTAAAAGCTGGAAATGGCTTTTCCCGTCACATTTAGATTTGTGTGTGTTTGCACGTCGTATTACTTTTTTGTCAATTTTTACACGTATACATGCCAACACAATGATAAATATGCATTAGTATTCTCCATTGTCATCAATGTTCTTGCTAATATGAGCAGCGTAAAAGGAAGTACAGTTTCCATCAATTTAAATATAGATTATAATTCACATTTAGCCTTGTAGGACTGTGATTTTTCCAAATGCAAAAGATATGTTGCACTGTTTTATAAATCATTCAAAGTTTGGGGTCCGTAAGATGTTATTGGGGGAAAAAAGACTGTTATGCTCACCAAGGCTATCTATACAGTATATATTATCAAAAATACAGTGAAAATAATGTGAAAAATATTACAGTGTTATCTACCAAATATATTTTAAAATGTAATTTATTCCTGTGATGCAAAGCTGAACAGCATTATTTCAGCATTATTACTCCAGTCTTCAGTGTCACATGATCCTTCAGAAATCATTTGAATATTCTGATTATAAATGATGATTCGTATTTTTGTGGAAGCTTCAATAGATATCAGGATATTTTGATGAACGGAAATAGAAATCTTTTGTAACATTATGAATGTCTTTAACGTTACTTTTGATCATTTTAATGTGACAATTTCTTTTCTTTTTTTTTAACTGATCCAACTTTTGAACTGTAGAATATCCCACAGCATATATTACAGCAATTCAAATAAATGTGTCATTCAAATCTAACGGCTGCATGCATGTAGCTAACTGTACAGAACACACACAAAATGGTTTCCGTTCACTAACACTGGTACATATAATTCATGCAGCCATGTTTTATTAAGACATTTCAGATGAAATCCCTGGGTAAAATGGGTTTAAATGTATTTCACACACTGGAATATCACAGAGGGAAAGAAAACATGACCTAAAACTCAATGGATCTTCTAAAATGCATTTTTTTGGATCCCATATGCATATCGCTCTATATTCTAATAATATCAGTTTATTAATTTACTCAAAATGACACTACAATTTGTGAATGTGTCAATTGATTAGCAAACTGGTCAAATTGACTGAATTCAGTCTTTGCCTTTTGAAATAGCGTGCAGCTTAGCAGTGTGTGTGTTCCTGTGGTCATGCATGGCCGTCAGCACTGCAACATACACACACACACACTGAACGTCAGCCCATCTGCCCAGCAGAGATGCTCAGCATCCAGGCTCCGATATGCAGATGAGGCCCGCGCAGATTAATAAATCATTAAGGCCGCGCTGTCTAAAACGGCCCCATTCACACGCTCTCCGGACACTGTGTGTCTGCTGCGAGCCCGGCATTAGACATGCAAGAATGTTAATGTCGACACGCATTATAAGAAGCTTGCGAGGCGTCTGTCTGCACGCTGGGCCTGTGCACATCTCGCCATATTGTGTCTGAGAGGGAAGCCCCTCTCGTCCGAAGAAAGAAGACCCACTTTGTGTTTATACACAGCTTAATGCGCCACATCAATGTGGCCTAAAAGTATTTTGAGCTTCTATTTTTTTTAAAAAGTCAAACATAAATCTGCTCTGAGAATGTAATATTTATTTGAAAATTGTGACTTATTAATATGAATATAAATGTTCTTTATTGATATCATTGGACCTTTAACATTCATAGAACCTTTCCAACACACAAAAGAAAGAATCATTCTTTCAAGAACTGTTCAATGAAAAAATCTCGACTTCAACTTGATTTTTTAAGAGTAAATATACACATATATACATGTTCTTGTTTAACGTGGGTGTGTGAGTTTTAGTTTTTTTTAAATAGCAATAATTAGCAATGCTTTTTTATGTATATTTTACATAAAAAACATTAGCGCACAGGAAAAGACACCTGTTTTGGGTTTTTTTTTTGTTCTCTTTTCTCCTCCATTCAAAGCATTTTGTCTCCTGCTTAACCCAGCACTTTAAGCACACAGTGAGGGGGATGATTGCATCACAAAGGAAAGCACCAAGTCCGTACCCCTATTTTGGCTTTGAAATTTGCATGCATTTGCATGATTTTATTATGCACATGCCTTTTGTTCCCTGGGTGGGAACCATGAAAAAAAAAAAGAGCGATGGAGCCCGTGCAAATCCACCTCGCACACAAAAATCCACATTTACGTTTGGACAACATGAAGATTTTGATGAAAGCTGAGCTGTTCATATTTGCACAGCGGTGCTTGTTTAGCAACAGTCAACAAATTAACCGCAGAAAAAAATATGAATATATTTAGTATGAAACTGTTTTTGTTGTTACTTATTGATATTTGCATGCTGTTTATTAGCCTTATTTCTGTGCAGACGCACACAGACTCGGCGCTTCATAATTACAATCGAAATATCACATCATTAGCGTCTGCTATCACAGAGAACTTCAATGGGAGTCTAATGTAACGGCCCAATACGACCGACCTGATTTGAAGAAATAGGTCAGGGGTTTAATGTCGCCTTCGGCCTGGTTTTCCAAACCACACACACCGTGATTGAGTCTTCTGGCTCAAAATACTCAGCTAACAAAAATATAGTGTGAGAACGTTTTGCTAATGTGCCCATAAACATTATATCTGAATGCTTAAAACATACAGTTTAAAAAAAAAATAATAATAATAATGTAAAGGGATAGTTCACTCAAAAATAAAAATTCTGTCATGATTTAATTATACCTGTATGAATTTCTTTCTTCTGCTGAACACAAATTAAGAATGTCACCCCATTGCCTTCCATAGTATATTTCCCCATACAATGGAAGTCAATGGGGTCCAAAATATTATATTCTTCAAAATATCTTCTTTTGTGTTCAGCAAAAGAACTAAATTCATACAGGTTTGGAACAACTTGAGGGTGAGTAAATAATGACAGAATTTTCATTTTTGGGTACACTATCCCTTTAAGAACATTCTATTTGATCATTTCGCCAACATTACGGGAACGTTACTTTTGAATGTTCTCTGAATGTTCTTGAACAAGTAGTAACATTTAATAAAAAGTTACGAACTAAACTGAAAATTCTAAAAAAAACATTTCGAGACCATAATTGAAGAGCAGATAACTTTCCAACAAACATTCCACGATACTAGAAGAAGGTTGGTTCATAACTTTCCCTGTAAGCTGCTTAATTCTTGTATAATGCAACAAAGTCATGATTTTGCGATGAACACAGCAACATATCTTTAAAATAATATTTACAGCCAGTAAGGTTGTGTCTCCCAGCATCCACCAATATTTTTTTTTTTTTGTCTGTCTTTCTCCTGTAGCTATAGGTCATTTGCATGTATATCTTTGTTCTTTTGGATTTGTGTGCAATGGGAAAACAAATCTCAAACATGCTACACGAGCAAACCCACACATGTGCATGTGTCTCTGAAGGGTCCGCAGAGGATGTTCACATCCCTTCTTCTGGCCTCTGGCTCTCACTCACCTCATGTTGCATCAGCCTCACACTTCCTCCTGCAGGCGACTCCGAGCTCCAGCTGCCTCTAACACACACAGAGAGACACAGATTTCACGTTACATAAAGACACATCATCGTGTCCAGCTTTACTATATAAGTCCGAGAGGAACTCGAGAGGGTCTCGTATTTAGAGGTATAATTTAGTGCTGGGCAACGATTAATCGCGATTAATCGCATCCAAAAGAAACGTTTGTGTTAACGTAATAGTGTACTGCGTATAATTATTTTGTATATATAAATACATACACATGCATGTATATATTTAAGAAATATGTGTTATTTATATATAAAATGTTAATATTTATATATAATATAAATATATTTCTTAAATATATACATGCATGTGTGTTTATTTATATATTCAAAATAATTATACGCAGTACACACACATCTATTATGTAAACCGAAACTTTTATTTTGGATGCGATTAATCGCGATTAATCGTTGCCCAGCACTACTATAATTCCATCCAAAGCAACCTACATTTATTCAAGACACACATTTTATTAGTTTACGCATTCCCTGGGAATCGAACCCATGATCTTCGCTCTGTTAGTGGCACGTTCTATTGTTTGAGCAACATCTACAGCATACAAAGGGGTTTTTCGCACCAATTTTGGCTCCCCAGAGAGTCTCTCAGGGATCAGTTATTAAAAGAACCATTTTGGTTAGACTAGACCATCTTTTTTTATAAACCTAAATTCAACATATAACAAATAATAAGTAGGGCTGTCAACCGATTAATCGCATCCAAAATAAAAGTTTGTGTTTACATAATATATGTGGGTGCACTGTGTATAATTATTTTATATATATAAATACACACACATGCTTGTATATATACTGTATATAGATTTATATATAATTTATATTATTTATAAATATTTTAAATATAAATGATATTTTTTTTTCTTAAATATACATGCATGTGTGTATTTTTATATATATATATATATATATATATATATACAAAATAATTATACACAGTGCACCCACATATATTATATAAACACAAACTTTTATTTTGGATGCGATTAATCGCGATTAATCGTTTGACAGTCCTAACAATAAGTCTAAGCCTAAATAATACACTATCTATTCCACTTTACTGCATTCTTTCCTTATGTGCGTTCATCCAGCCAAGAGGTCATGCTGTGACATATTGATCTTCTATTGCTCACACATGTTCATGTGATATGAATTCGCCGGTCAGAGTTCACTAAACTTTAGAATGCGGCGAATTTCTGAAAAGTTCAAAAATTCAAAACTGTGTTTCCGCTTTCCAGAGTTCGCATAATAGAAGTCAATAGATTGGAAAGTGAAGTGCATCCGAAATTTTTTTTTTTTTTTTTTTTTTAAATCTACATTTGCCAACATTTCTAGCCAAAGCAACCTAAATGTATTGTTCACACATTGCCTAGGAGTGGGAATCGAACCACCTCCACGTTGTTAGTGACACATACTATAGTTTGAGCTACATTTGCACCATACACTCTCAAAAATGAAGTTTTCTTTTCGCTTTTTTCCACTATAAAGAACCCGGAAAGGTTCCATGGATTTTAAAGGTTCTTCATGGAACCATCAATGCCAATAGTAAAGCAGAACACTTTTTATTTTATGCATTAACTTTTAATGGACAGTAGTATTTGGATGAAGTCAAAAAGAAAGGATAAAGCCCACTAGCAAAATGTGTTCACGCAATCCACAAGTGTATGAGTATCTATGTTGCATAAATATCTTAAATGTGAATGAATAATTAACAGCGTGTCTGCCATCTATCTATTCTTCTTCTGCTTACATGGATATGACTCCCTAAAAGTGATCAAAATTCCTCTCTTTGGTATTGTTGCGCTATAAAACATTGAACATGTTTGAAATGTGTGCACGGAGAATTAATTATGATTTGCATGCACTTAAATATTGGTCATATTTGTTATCACTGCACGTCTTCATCCATATGGTCTTTTGAAGTAGTTTATACATGCAACGTCGAAACAAAACACAAGATGCCAAGCGTTGATCGGAAGCGATTCTCCTGAGGATCTCCATGCGGTGTGATTACCACCAATCATACGCTGGAGCTCAGGGTGCTAAACCAATGAAAATGGTGCTAATTAGAAAATTGGTATTCATGGTAACGGGCAGCAATTGTGATGTGACATGCAAAGCACGCGACGTGTGTGTACGTGTGCATGTGTGTGTGTGTGTGTGCCAGCAGACATTTTGGGATTGCCCTCTCAGTCTCCACTGCCAAAGTCATAAGATGGTGGCAAACAGGAGGCATCGCTTCCACGGTGGACAATGACGTTTAGAGATGCCCATGAACCGCTGACGGTTAATCAGAAGGGTTGTATGTCATATATTGTCTCAGAATTCATTCAACATCATGTAAATCAGTGCAGAAGCAATTATATTAGATTCCCTAGTCAATCTTTGTTTTAGCATAATACAGAAATATTGTCTTTTTTTAAAGGACAGTCCGTTTGCAGTCAAAAAGTCGACTCTGTTTTATTTTGTCTTGCTATCAATGCATGCATGCGGCTCCATCAAAGCCTCACAGCAAATTAGCATTTGCGTTACATTAATGAGCCGGCTCAGCATTTATGAAGTACAAAGTCATTTGCAGGTGTTGTCGAAAAATATCAGGGGATGGCAACACCGGTATAGGAAACTTAGTTCTAGTATTTGTGTGCCCATTCTTTTATTCCACATAATCAGCTTGTTTTAGCTTGCCTGATCATCGTTTCAGCTTATGTTTGTTAATAACTGATATGAATTAATATCCTTTAGTCTTGATGACAGATTATATTCTTATTATAAATTGCTCTCGGAAGATCTAAGATAGAAATATCAGTGTAATGAACAACACAAGGTGATTCTCATTACAGTTATTGCAGCTAGACACACTAGCACCTCATCATCTCCATGGAAACTCCAATCAGCTCAAGAGCTCATCACACATGACAGATCTGACAAAAGTGGGTGGGCACACTTTATAACTGAAGGTTGATTAGCAGATATTCTTGTGATTTTTTTTTTTTTTTCTCTCTCTGGTAAATCAATATTTCAGTGATATTTGACCTTATTTCATTTGGATATTATTTAACAAAAGTCATTTTATATCCTTCCCACCCCAAAATTATAAATAATACTAATTACCTAAAATATGGGATCAATTTTATTTACTTTCAAAATGCATTTTTTTTAAATCATCTCTTTTAAATTTAATATTTTGTCCAGACAAATGTTTTTACTGGTGTAAAATACATTGACATCTTCTTTCTGAGCTCCAGTGTTCAGTCTGACCCCAGCGCTGACCTGTCTGACCTGAAGTTTCAGAGTTCAAGGGTCAACATGTGCTTTTGGGTCAAATTCAAGTTCATTCTGACCATCAAAACTGATTCCATGTGCCAAAATACACAATACAGTAACATATCTGGTATAAAACACTTGCACCTGTAAACACCAAGGGCTGTGTGAGAGAAGGGGGACGATGGCATTTGTCTGATAAAATAACGTTTCTAATTAATATCGCTCCCTTACTAATTTTATTATGCAGTAAACAAATACTAAAAAACTAGCACAAAACACTCAGATAAGACAAATATTAAAAAGTAACTTTTTAATTAAAATCCCCCAAAAAAGTGATGGTTTGCACAGGAAAATCTGTAAATGCTACTTCAGTAATTGTACTGAAAAAGACCATTTTATATTTTAGCTTTGGTAAGTAATTCATACTTTTTAATAAAAAATAGCATATTTTGTCTTATTTTAGTTTTATGTTTATAAACTGTAAAAAAATATTTGTATGATTTGTTATCACAGCATTTTTTTCTTTTGTCAAATCAACTTCAATCATTTATGTTGTTCATATAACATAATATTTTGAGTTTCTGATGATTAGTTAAACCAACAATATTCACTGTAAAAAAATATTTTCATGATTTGTAATCACAGCATTTTTTCTTTTGTCAAATCAACTTAAATAATTTATGTAGTTCAGATAACATACTATTTTGAGTTTCTGATGCTTAAATCAATCTCCTTCATTGTATTAACTCAATTTTTCCAGTTCAATGAACTTAAAATTTTAAGTCAAACAGGTTACTTCATTTTTTAGGTTAAACCAACAATATTTTTTACAGTGTTATACATTTTTGATTACGTTTAAGATCAAAATTACTAACCATTTCTACAGTATACATACGCCAATAAAGATAAAAAACAATATTAAATTAAAGATAGTGAATAAATATAAAAATGCAGGTTTTTATAAGGTGAAGTTTAGGTTTTGAATACAGAAAATATATTTTGCTTATAAAAACAAAAGAAGTCAATCTAAAGTGAAGAAAATCATGGTAATATTTTTTTGTACAAGATACTTTAATATGTGGCCAGCTGCTTAATGTGTGTGTGTCTGACTCTAAATCAGTTGTCAGCTCTTGGGGCCTCTACATCGGCCTATCGTGGATACTTTACGAGTTGATTGGTGTGTGTATGTCTAAGTACAGCATCCCGTTACACATTCCCGTCACACACAGGCTCTCCAGCGTCCTCCATTCACCCCAGCTCTGCTGTTCCACCCTCCACAGAGATGCAGATGAGCAGGGTGCACTTGGACCCCCCACTCCCCCCTCACAGGGCTGTCTGTCATATTCTGCCCCAGACAAGACATTGCCCACTTGCCCTCGAGCGTGGGAATGGGGGTCCACGGGCGTTCACATCATCTCCCCCACGTGCGCTCGACCGCATCAATTAAGGATGAGTTTCTATGCCAATCCATCCCCATTCCTTCCTCCATCCCATTATGTCCCAATTATTTCATTTGAGGAGCTTGAATAAGTCCAGAGTCAACGATACTGGGACGCACGTGGGTTCCATTGAGCTGACAACCACAACAAACTTACGCCTTTGTCTTGCTTGTCTCCTATGTGCTTTGCATTCATCCTTGTATCCAAAAGCTTTATAAATATTCCTATATGATGTGCACGATCAACGAATCACCCTGAAGCGTCTGCACGAGCAAAAACACACGGAACGCCTATATTTCGTCATTGCACACAGCTACAGTAAGCGATCTATATTTAATGCTCCACGCTGAGATGCTCATAGAAGCGGTCCTTACTTTCGGTTATCTAGCTTTATGACGACCAGCACACTCATACAGCTAGATAACCAAAGATAACAACACGCCTCCAACGTATGATGCGTCGCACCACAAGTGCAAAAAGACCCATTTGCCACAATTACTCGCAAGTCACCCGATGCGAGTGATTAGTTTCATGCAAAAAAGAAAGAAAAAAAAATCCCGAGAAAGTTCCTCGCAGCCTGCCTGCCTGCTGTCCTTCTAAATGAGGTCGATCCAATCCAACTTGGCTCCCGCGCGTAATTGTAGAACTTCTTAATACTTGACTCGAACGATGAAGGTAAATCTACAAGACGCGAGCCTGCTATACGTCCATCCATAGCAGCGAGGACGCTTTTATTCCAAGCGGCGCTCGGCTTGGCTGGATTTACAGTGCGGTACGCATGAAATCCTGCGTATCCATGCAAGAGAATAAACGGGCACGCAGCAAAAAACGCAAGGCATAAAGGCAGCATCGGGCACAGAGCGAGAGCTGTAGAGTAAAACACATGCGTACTTGGGTTTGGGCTTCAAATATCACTCTCGTAACATGCGCAAAACGCGCGCAGGTTTGATCCGGAGGCATTTTCGCTCCTCTTGCTCAGGGTAACATCATGACGTGCTTATGGCACACGGATGACGTGCTCACGGATGACAGGACTGACGCACTCATCTCTAGAGCCCAAAATGCGCACAAAGCTCGTGAGGTCAGAGGTCTCGAGGTCACGGCGAATTTAAATGTCCAGTTGGAGACGCACGCGGCGGCGCGCACCATTTCTGCAGTGTGCAGTTATTCATATAGAAATTAATCATGGCTTAGGGCAAAAAAGTGCCACAAGGTGCCTAATTCCTCAGATTTTCTAACATCTTATATATTTCTAGGACATATATTAGTAAATAAATATTTGCATGCATAAAAGTAAAACGCCTGGTAGCCTACTGTTTGTAGACCCTCATCTTTTCCGTTGTGCAAGATGTCAGTGGTTTAGTTTTAGTTATGAAACTCCTATAGACAGTTTGCATCAGAAACTGCTCGCGCGACATCTTTTTTAAGGCATGCACTGCAATTATGAATTTTAATTAATAATTGTGAGCGGAATACGTGTCTTTTACATTTTAGATCTGCTTTTGATCTGTAAACAGGCCTGTAAACAGATCAACATTGTACAAATATCCTCATGAACTTTTCAACGAAATATTCGCTCCTCAATTCGTTTCTGCAGCAGCAGGAGATTAAAATGACCCCATCGTACATGTAATATTTAGGCGTGATATTAACAAAAATATCATCACTGGAAGGATGCACAAAATTATCTAACCGTTATTCCACCACTAACTGACGCGTGTAAATATTTAGAAATACATTTTTAACCGGTACCTATTCATTTCAGTGCGAGCATACAAACACGCGTTTTGCTTCCCCCCTCTGAGAACCTAATAGAAAGCACAGATGCATTTGTAAAGATTACCTCAGACATCTAAATGAGAGAAAATAAAGCCTTAAAAGCATCTATTCTCTCTCAATAGAACAAAGGTTTGCTTGATTTTAAGGGCTTCAAAATTACTCAAATAATCAGATGGTAAATTCTTAAAACAATGAAATATTATGCAAATATAATGTAATGTTATCTCATATTTAACATGAGCTCTTAATTTAACCACCCTGAAACAATTAACCACTTCGAGTGTCCAGCGTGACGTCACACTGCGAGGACAATTAACACTTATTAATCTGTTATCATCTGCTCAACAGACAGTGACGTGCAGGTCAAAGTGTGTGTGAAGACTTTACGACACTTTACAATAAGGTTTCTTTGGTTAGTTAACTAATTTGGTGAACATGAACTAAGGATGAGCAATATTGTACAGCATTTATCAATGTTAGTTCATGTTCAATCCAACATTTACTACATTATTAAAATCAAATTTGTTAACATTAGTTCATGCACTGTGAACTAACATGAACAAACAATGAACAGCTGGATTTTTATTAACTGACATTTAGATTAAATTGTTATTTTTACATTAATGTTAACAATTGCACATATATATAGTACGCATATAATTCATAAACAAATAGTTGCCAAACAATATTTCATTATATTATAAAATAATCGAACATTTAGCATTTTTCAATTTATCAACAATTTTGCATTTTTTAAAGGACAAGAAAACCTATTAGGCCTAGTTTTTTCTTTTATGAATAATGCAATAATTCTACACAATAGCTATTAAAGCTACAGATTTCACGTGGCCTGTTTTAAAGCATAAAGTAGGCTACTTACATTCTCCTTGAACTCCCCATGGCACCAAAAAAAAAAAAAAAAAGGAAAAAAAGCGGTCATCTGGATGTGAAATGCGGATAAACGAACATCCTCGATTAGAAATCACATCCTCGAAATCCTTCTACGAGCAGTTTGCTATAGAGAAGCACGAGGCGCCGTCGTCTGTCACGATCTTAGTCCATCCTCAGGATGAGAAGGTGTGAGGGAAGAGCAGAACTTCATCACATGGCTTCCTGCGCGCGAGAGCGAATGGAAAGTGCAGCGCGAGCCCTGCAACTTTGGGTGGGCTTGAAAGGGGTGGGTGGGGGGCAATTTATGACCCACCCCTTCTACCTCTGCATTATACGTGCGATGAAATTAATATTTTATTCAATTGCCCAAATTTGCTCAGATTTCGCTGTATGGGTTTATTTCGCACGAGGTAGAAAATGTCAAAGTGACGTGACCAGGTGTGACTTACCTGAATCCTCACGGGTGGAAAGGACGGTATTTCGTTTCCCAACATTTCTTCATCCTAAAATGTTGTTTTTAATGCGTACCCATTGATACATTCTACATTTGGGATAATTTCCCTTTCTTTAAGAGTGCCATTTTCTTCTAAATATTATTTAGGTCTTATTATTTTTCCTATTACTATTAAATATTTGTATTATTTTGACAGTCATTTGATGACTGGAGGGGGGCACGTTCAATGACGTCGTCTTGTTTGTTACGCGCAGCCATATTTGGATACACCGAGGAAATTAGTGATGCTCAATATGCAAATCAAGCCATAATGACTACACCATAGAGGCGAAACAATGTCTCGTGCTTAAATAAAATCGTAATTTTCTTGGAGGGATCTTGATCTACGAGTTGATTTCTTAAGCAAGCAGATATTCTGGATGTTAATGTCGCTGGAGGAATAAATGGGAGCACGTGAGAAATGATCGCCTGTAATAATAATCAGCTGCTCGATGAGTCTTTGTGTTTGCTCTACAGAAGCTCGTTTTCTTTGAGAATTTCAAAGCACCTCAAAGTTGTTGTTTTTTCTTTCTTTCTTCAGCAGGTGAGTTTTTTTATTAGCTGTTTAATATATATATAGGCTACAATATTTTTTTTTTTACGTTAATTCAAATTAAAGAGAATTTTTGTTTGGATTATTATTTATTTTTTAGGAGAACAGCTGAGTTTTGTGCATTTTAGATGCTGACGTTCATTGCAACCAAATTATTTGTTTGTAGATTTATAAATTAAGACTAAAGGACTCAACTGGTTTAAACGCACAAGATAACTAGCCTAAATAACAAAAATCCCAAACTTACATTTTATTTTTAAAGCTGTTGATTCGAATGGACATGATCCAGCAGCTTCAGGCGTCATATGTTTCCATCTGATGTCTTGAGTTCATGCGGATTGTTAGAGATGTTCAGTTCGCATACAGTACGTCTCAGTTTGTCACGGGAAGACGAGAGAAAATCGCAAACATCTCCTATTTGGCCCATATTTTCCTAAAACAAAGAAACACTGCAAAATTATGTCATTATTGACCTTTTTTTTAGTACGTTCATGGAGATAAAGGGGAAGGAAATAGCAGGATAACACACACTCTCTCTCTTCCACACACACACACACACACACACACACACACACACACACACACACACACACAGAGAGAGAGAGAGACGCAGCCTACACACACTCACAATGGCTTTGTTCATATTAAAACCAACAATTACAGATAAAATGTCCTCTTTAAAACGTAGACTGTGATTATATCTTATTTCCAATGAATATCTTTGTAGTCTTTTATAAACTCAGAGTGCTTAGCTTTTATTTATTTAAAATAGTCTACAGTAGCCTATATTTTTAAATGTATTTATTACTAGTTCTTGCATTTTACAGTAGCTAGGTTATTCTACATTATCCCAGACTTGAGCTTAGGCTATAGGCTATGTGTTTCGACTGTTCTGTCAGTTCTCCGTGAACGCGTGTGTTATTGCACTACAGTGACACCTGGCGACAGTCCGACAGCAGCTCCTCATCGGGGGATTCATCAACCAGAATCATATTGCGTCTATATGATATAGTCTACAATGATGCAGTTCTTTCATTTAGCGCAGTTTTCAGACAGGTAGAAGCTTATTTTTCACCGTAAATTAAAGTGCAGCTGAATAGGCCTATTTGAAGCTTCGGTTCTTTAGACATTATAAACTGAAGATGTTGCACCAGCTTAACAACAAATTATCTATCTATCTATCTATCTATCTATCTATCTATCTATCTATCTATCTATCTATCTATCTATCTATCTATCTATCTATCTATCTATCTATCTATCTATCTATCTATCTATCTATCTATCTATCTATCTATCTATCTATCTATCTATCTATCTATCTATCTATCTATCTATCTATCTAATGCTGTTTAACGCTTTAAATCTAATTTATGGTATACTGCATATTTATGTAGCTATGTAGGCTATCTATCTGATATTCTCAAAATAAAGATTATAGAAGCAATTATTGACTGTAAATTTGAGCATGTTTTACTGCGTGTTTAAGGACTTGTAGTTTGGTTTGTTGTTTTTCAATTGTAATGGAATAAATACATTCAAAGTCACGAACGTATATCCGTTTAATTAGCTTCATAAAAATAATATCCTCGTCCTGTCGATATGGTTTTCAACATTTCAGCTCACGCGTACAGTGTGATAACTAATTTCGTCGGCTTTAATTTCACGGAAGATGTGGGTGTATTCTGCTCTTATAAACTGAGATGTCGATATAGTCTATTTCTAAACGCGACTGAAATGTGGAACATTATGAGGAAAGAATATGATTCCGCTGTTGTTATATAATGCAAACAAACACGATATTTTACTGCTTCAAATGCAAAAAACATATTTTCATGTGACAAGTCGCAAATGTATTTAGAATCAAACATTCTTGAAAGAATTCTAATAGATTTAAGCGTAACTTCTGCCCTGCTTTTTTCTTATTTTCTGCTCTTATATGAATTGCTTATCACGACACGATTAAATCGTTAAAAGTGTTGGATGTCATTTCCAGCCTTACAACTAAAGATGATCATCAGTCTAGTCTAAGACGTGAGCATAAATGACTTTGCAAAATGATTTTAAGGTATATTTTGCTATGAATAAAGGCATGAATTTCTCCATCAAACAACCCCTAAAAGATCACATACCAGCTTACCTTACACTCATTTCAACCATGCGAGCCTGTAATTTCCAAAGTGTGTTTTCTGTAAATATTTCATAAGCAGTTTACTGTAGACTTATGTTTTAAATATGAAGTTGAAGATCTCAGTTTAGGCTGTGGAATGAGAATGAACTCACAGTGGTCTGAGGATTTGAGCCACGATGGTTTAAATCACAGTTTATGGCTTTTAGTTCTTTGTCAAGTCAACTTCTTCAGTTGCTGTTGATTACACCAATCCTTCATTGTAACTATTTTTTTATTTTTATTATTATTTCAATGAACTAGATTTTTTAAGGCAACCAGATGACACTTTTTAAGTTAAACCAACAATATAAAAAAATATTTGAGTAATAAATTATGACATGTTTTTACATTGCTTTAACTCAACAAAATAAGTTAAGCACATTTTTTTTAAGTTATACAAGATTCAACTATTTTTAAATGAACTTAAACATCCAAGTTGATTGTACTTAATTTAAGGCAGTAACTTTTTTTACAGCTAGAAATGTGTCTGTAAAATGTCATACAGCAGTGTTTTATGTAATGAGTAATGCATCAGTTTTTAAGATTTTTAAATGTACTCAGCCCAAAAATATACAAATTCTGGGTGGTCTTTCATCAAAACTCTAGTTTTGCATCATAATCTGCAAAAACATTAGACAAATGGTCTGTACTGATCAAAACAACCTGATGAATTAAAGAAACAAGCAAGCAAAACAATAATAATAATAATAATTGAAATAGTTTATATGGCTTTATTTTTGGAGCTCACACAGCTTTACCTCTCTGTTCAACATCGGCAAAGCTTGAAATCACATTCTGACTCATGTGGTCAACAGGTAGCAACAAATGCTCTGCATTTTTATGAAAATATAAGCAAAATGTATTGTGCATCTCTTCCACCGGGGACAGGCAATACATGGCCCAGAGAACTTGAACGTTGTTAACACGGCTCTGAAATATCAACAACATTTACAAGAGAATTTGTGTGTTTGGAACACTTCCCGATCCCGTTCCTCAGCCCTGGGCCCGTGTAGTCTTAAAATGGTGCGTGATGGCTTTCTCGATCACTCCGACAATCGCGAATAAACCTGCAAATCCTGGCAGGTCCGTTTACCCAAAAGCCTCATCGTTCTCTATTTACATAAATACGTTGAACCTGCAACACAACAACGTCTGTGATAACATACATTTGCAAGTTAGTGTGCATTGACGTGAGCGTGAAGGCCCCGAAAATTACTTGTACAAGCCCTGAGACACGTCAATGCCTCCTTTAATAGTTTAATTATGCATAATATATTACTGAAACTAAAAAGTAGCTTTACCAAACAAGAGTACCAGACTTCTCTTTTTAATCCTGTATGCTTGTATACATACATACACACGTATGTAAAATTACATGTATAGATTTTTTTTTTTTTTGTCGTTTTCCCCACACGTGGCACAAGCGATGCATGTCCCTTGCCCCCAACCCCAAATCACAAACACGCCCTCCCTCCCCCGTTTATCTTATATATATATCAATTTTAATACTTGATGTAGCACTCACACTCCGCAGAAACAAATATAATAATACTAAAGCGAACTCTCCGGACGGAGAAGCGGGATCACGAGGCCCAGCCCTCGGACAGACGCATGCGCTTGACGGAGGGGCTCTGCCGCTCGTCCTGAGAGGGTCTCAGCAGTCCCAGGGGCGAGTGGAAGTCGGAGCGGTGATCCTCGCGGTCGCTGCCCTCGTACGAGCTGCCGCAGCTGCTCAGGCTGTCCACCGGGGAGCGTCCCGAGTCCTGACGCAGGTGACCCTGCTGCTGGGCCAGGGGAGGGGGCAGGGGCTGGGCGTAGCCCCCCGGGGTGCCTCCCGCGCGGTCCCGGGGAGGAGACACGGGTTCCGACTTGATGTGCAGGCTCTGATTGGACGGCAGCGAGAGGGTGGAGCTCTGACATAACTGTGTGCTGCCGCAGTTCCTGTGGGGACAGAGAGGAGACACGCTTGTAGGCCGAGGGAATAAAAAATAGATGTAGTCACAATACAGGTTTTGACCGTTTGAGGATATAAATGAATTTTCCAAACATTTTAGAGATTAATGCAGACTGTCACTTTTCGAGGCTGATGTTTTAATGCGTCAAAAATCGAGTCTAAAAATCTGAGATTACATTTTTATGACACTATATTATCAGCAAAACAATTTGTTATAGTACTACTTAATATAATGTGATATAATAAAATATAATATACATTCTAATATTTGTTACATTTTAGAATGTATATATTTTATTATACTATATTAATTCATTTATTTATTATATTAAATATAGATTCCCAGATTCCCAGTGAAATTTAAGTGAAAAAAAAAACATGTATGATATTATATTTTAGTGCATTTTGGTATTTTAATTCAAAAAATTGAATTCCAAAAATAAAAAAAAATACAGATTTCTAGGAAAACCGTTGAAAAGTATAAAAATAAAGTTGATATTATTTAAAATATTATATTCATAAAATATTATATTAAATTAAATATAAATATTATATTAAAGATCAAATTCCAGATTCCCAGCAAAATAATTTAAGTAAAAAAAACAAAACATGAATTTAGTCCAATAAAAATAAAATTTAGATTCCTAGGAAAACAAATAAAGTAAAAAGTATATTAGTATACAATTTAAAGTATATTAAATCATATCATATCATATTACATTATATTATTAGTTTGACATTTTTAATTACATTTAAAATCACAGATCACCAGCAAAACAATTTCAATGAAAAATTAAAATGAAAAAAATATCATGAATTTGAAAATGTATTATTATATTATTATATTACATTTGTAACTTAAAATGTTGAATTTTAAATAAGAATAAAATTGAATTTTTTTGGATCCCACTGTATTTCTAGCCCTTATAACACTGCACATGCCCACAGTGATGTGTCTGTGGTTATAGTGAGTGTTACAGTGTGTTTTGGGTGCACAAGTCAGGGGTGAAGATGCTCACCCTAGATGTCCTAGACCAGAATGCTGCATGTTTTGCTGCCAGCCGGTCATGGAACCAAGATGAAGAGAAGTCGAGCTGTTAAAACCGGTCAGAGAGGACAGGTCTGCACTGCTGAGAGAATATTCTAGAAGGGAAGAGAAAGATCTCTGTTCAACACACTGCGTATAGACTGTGCTGAATCTCCTGCTTACTGCAACAGGAAGACGCTGAAAGAATATTGAGTCAATGGCGCCACCTGGTGGTGAAACTCTTCAAACATTTAAAACAATTTGAATATATAGTATCGTTTTTTCGAAATTCATTTTATTCATCAAGGATGACTTACATTGATCAAAAGTGACATTAATAGAGTTACAAAAGATTTCTATTTCAAAAAAAGGCTAACAAAAGTTAATAATAATATTTCATAATATTACTTGATTAGAATTCAAATAAACGCACATTTGGTGATCACAAGAGACTTTTTTTCAAAAATATTTAAAAATCGTATTGAACTTTTTAATAGTAGTGTATAATACAGTATATATATATATAATATGATAAATTAAATAATACATAATAAAATATAGTATATTAATATATAATAATATAGTAATGTAATGTCATCAACATATTATATTATATTATATAAAACAATTAATATAATATATTCTAAAATAATATATAATAATATTTCGCAATAACAATAATATAATGCTGTTTATATTATATTATGTGAGCAGCACTCACCTGTACCGTATGAGGTAGAGAGGGCTGATGGGTAACCGCCCATCCCCTGTCCTGGTAGAGTGGGCGTGGCTACAGACACCACTGGTGTGCTCAGCGATTGGGCGGACTGAGAGTTGTTTATTCTCTGGTTCTGTGGGTAAGAAATATGATATTTAAAACAACAGCATCAGAATTCAATTGCGCAGGACAAACAGTAAATGTGCTCATCATCATATCTGCTCTGTCTAACTGCTTAATAGATATATTGATATTTATAGATACATGATGTGACCAATAACAGGTAATCATCTCACATCCAGCCATCACTGCCGGAGTTTCCCTGTTGCTATGGGAACAGCTAAAGCAGTCCCCTTGGCAACAGAGGAATGAGACTGGTTTGTTTCAGTGTGCATTTGACAAAACTTTGTCTGTGCTCTGTTTGACGGTTAAGCGTGTGCAATGATGCTTACCAGCAACATGTCAACATCCTCCGACTGGTGAGCAGTTAAAAGAACACAGTTCGAATTAGTTCTAGTGAAACTGGAGGAACAGATATATTTGATGGTCTGAACTGGTTTTATATGGGCAATGCCGGAAGGCCAGTGATCATATTTTTGTATGCGATGCGTGTGGTGATGTGAACTCACGATGGAGGGCATGGTGTTCTTGGATCCGGGGGGGATCAGGACGCGCAGGTCCGGCTTGCGGTTGCTCATGTTCATGCTCATGGACGGAGGAGACTTGGCCTGCATGTTCTTACTCATGTTCCCCGGAGAGACCAGCAGACCAGGGGAGTTGCGGTGGTTTCCATACCCGTTTCCTATGGGACAGTGAAAGAGGATGAGTCAGTCTAACACCAATGACCACACAGCACACTTTCACAATACTGGAATACAGCAACTGCAAAACATGACGTCACAAACACAATATAGAAGTATCAAAAAAATGATGGAGATGCCCTGGATTTCTTCTTCATCAATTATGCTATAGAAAAAATAAATACAAATTAAACAAAGCTTTAAAATGTCAAGGAAGTATGACTGTGTGTCCCCACATTTGCATCGTTTATCATTTAATCACATTTCAAAGCACATTTTGTCTAAATAATCAATTTAATTTATAATAACATTAAAACAATACTTATGCTACTACTAATTGTTATTATAACAGTTACAACCTTTTTCTGCATTGTTTACTAATTTTATGGATTATTTTATAATAATAATAATAATCTTTTACATAAATAATTATACAATATAAATGTAATTTTATTTTTGAAGATGCCGCTTTTGTGATGTTTATGGAAGCTTTATTAAAACATAAAAATTTATCTCACAATTCTGACTTGGATATTATAACTCACAATTGTCCGAAAAAAAAAGTCACAATATCTTTAACATTTTTTTTTATTCCATGGCAGAAACAATATCTTTAAATGATCTAAGAGAGTTGAGAGAGATCATTCAGGAGAGAGTTGTTGTCAACGCCGGCCCGCGACTTTTAATAATAAACTCGCTTTGCTACTGCAACGCTGCATCGCTGTTTTAAGTAGCCTATATTTTAAGTAATTTAACTCACAGCTTCACTGCTAGTAGAGAGTGAGACAGACACAGGTAATTCCAACGCATTCTCATCCTAGGGCGTCATATAGTGATGCTTTTGAAATTTTGTCTAAATCCAACACACATGGCACCCTTTAGCGTGATTTAGCTTTGTTTGGTTTAGCGTAGTCTGGGTTTCCCCATGCTGCCTTCCCGCAGCGCGATTTTATTCACGCTGAAAGGCAGTCTGGATACCATGGCCAGATTTTCGCCTCATTTAGGGAATCAATCACAGAACGGGGAGGGTGTGATTGGTGTGAAGACGATGACGACAAACATCGAAGCAGTTTGTTTATATCTTCAACATGGCAGCAGACTTTTGATGCAGCCTTAGATATTGTTCTAAGTAGAGCCTGACCGATATATCGGCAGGCCGATATTATCGGCTGATATTAGGCATTTTCTAAAATATCGGTATCGGCAGTTATAATGGCCGATAAATAAATATTTCAAAAATAAAATAAAAACGGACGAAACCGGCTTCAACCATGTCATGAGTGTTAGAGTTGTATAGTTTGTCCACCAGAGGGCACTCTACACCGTGCCTGTTGGCAACACTTGTGTATAACGTGCCACACATCCTGCAACCTGCTGATCCAGCCAGAATCGGGCAGAGAGAACCAGTTATGCATTATCATGTGCGTTTCTGAAATAAAAAAATAATAATAATAATATCGGCCGATATATCGGAATATCGGATTTTAAAAACAAAAAAAATATTTGTATCGGTATCGCCTTTATCAGTCGGGCTCTAGTTTTAAGTATTTTAGAATGCAAGTTTATTCTGAAAAAAGAGCAGCTTTTGCCGTTAAAATTCGAGACCCCATTCGTTATTGTTTTCTCGCCATTAATCGCCCTAATGGAGGACCAGTACAGGAGGCGGTCAACCTTGGAATATCTGCCGCTCAGCTGTGTCCCGAGAAAGAAAATGCGATAAAGAATTGTCAATACCAGCTTCTTTACGGCAGTCCCGAGGCCTGGATGAGCGCGAAGTGGCAAGAGTTGTATAGTAACCAGCTAGGCATCGTCGTTGACGAAGTCCATTTAACTTATAAATGGTGAGTGGTATTTATTAAAATCATAATGTCATTATGCCTGTAGACTACCTACTGTGGTTGTCACAGTGCCACTAAGTTGTGTTGCTTTTCAATATCAATATACAGCTACCGCTTTAGTAGCATAACTTTCAGCTGTGCACACGTACCCAATTGTTGTTGTTGACACTTTAGTCAAATTAAAGGTGGAATACCTAAGATTTTTGCATTCAAATATCCCAAAATCACAAGGCTAGTGTTATATATTTAGTTATGATGATAACTCACAATATTCCAAATGTTTCAAACAATGTTTAAATCGGGAGAAAATTGAGATTTTAACCAAGGAAACAGGGCGTATGAGCAGGGGTGAGCTGGGAGTCGCCAGTCAATCGCGTCATATCCGCTTACCTCGGTTTCCGCTCGTACTACGTGTAGTCCTGGACAAATGCGGTAGTTGTAGTTGTGCGTTAGCGTCTATTAAGCAACAAACGTAAGCTTGTTTCGCGCATTTGTTATGGAATGGAGCACAATTATTCTTTTCAATTATTCTGGGAATGTGAACTGTTGGCTGTAAAAGGGGGTCGCACACCGGACGAGAAGCGTCGCGCCACGTTTAGGACAACTCCACAGTAACGTTATCGAACACCGGACGCGCACTTTCTCATCAGTGTATGGCCAGCAATATTGTTATGTTTAATGACATGAAATGAGGATAATGTCTGTTCTATGTTATGATTGTACTGTACAATTAAATACAATCGTTGCTGAGTTTGCATTCTGAAAACTTTACCTCAGATCATCCGTTCACTGAATGAATTGAGAATCTCACCTGAAAAATCTAATAATAACAAGTCAGGATCCATTAGCAACGATTTGAGACAAAAATAATTAAAATTTTATATAAAACTATGTAAATGGCGCTCTGTGGCGCTGCAGGATTTTGAACACGGTCCTGAGGCGTTGTTGCTGGGCGCCGCGGACAGACGCCGAATGGCGCTGCCGGTATGTGTAACGTTACACTTATAGATAATAATGTTTTCGAATTTTAAAGATGTGGCGCGACGCGGCGCTGCAGCTTCTCGTCCGGTGTGCGACCCTCTTAACGTTCATTTTGTGAAACTGTAGCTGTGGTTGAATACTTACACGACATGAAAAGATGTGTCAAATGTACATTAAATTGATTTTTTATTTTTATAAAGTTACCACGGAGGACCAGCCACGTCAACTCCTTGCAAGAGACCTGCCCCTTCAAACCCTCTCCACCATAGCTTTGGCCAGTGACTCGTACAGTAACTCATTTACTTTTAAACCTGACTTTTCTTGCGCGTTTTTTTCAGTAAACAATTTCTAATGCAAATAACAACGTCAACATCTATGTTAAACTGTACTTAAGACTTGTGTTTTTCTAATTGAAACGATTGGCTATGAGCTACGTACGTACAGGCGCATTTGATAGACATTCTTAGCACCCAATAAACGGCGCCGGGCATTCGTAAACCACGCCTCAAATACGGGAAAATTAACATGTGGTTCCCAGACCCAAATCTCAAGGAGAATTGGGTCTGGTGTTAGCCAGGCTACCATATGCGTTGGATGTAGACGAAATGTCAAAAGCGTCAGTATATGACACCTTGGGATGAGAACGGGCTGGTAATTCACACGCACATCTCTCTCCCTCTCTCTCTCTCGATAGGCTAATTCAATCAAATAAATGTAACCTTAATGCACTACTTTATCTCTGTGTCTGATTCAAAGTGAGCAGAACCCTATATCTAACATCATTTAAACACTTCCGATCAAATTTAGCACTAAAATATCAGTGACAGCTTCAACGCTTCTCGTCTGGTGATTCTTTGCTAGCTGTGGATTATCCTTTCTATTTCCAAGTCACTTTTCTCTACTTGGAAAAAAAAGATTTAAAAAATCTTTGAAAATAGTCTTTAAAAAAACTTATGAGCAACTTGTTTGAAGAGGTCAGAAAAAATTGGCAGCTGAACCTTAAAATAAATTGGTGAATCTGACGGCTGTCACAGTTTTTGATAAATCGGTCTAAAATTTAAAAAAAAAGTCTTTTCATTACATGGATATTTTATGTTTCCACATGCTCTCTAAGAAGTCAGCTACGATATTAGTTCTGTGGTCTTTTTGAAGATGCTGTCACTAAATTGTTGCCATCTGTCACAATAACGCCACAGAACTATGGGAAAAGTGGAATATATCGAAGAAAAAAAAAATGGAAAACGTCAAACGTGGAGCAGCCATCTTTCCAAAAGTGTACTTTTTTGACATTTTCTCCTTTGTTTTGTTATTTTCTCTTAAAGACCTACATTTGCAGGAACATTTGGAGGTGTTCACCACCTTCAAAAGTCAATTTAGACTTTCCATGTTGTCAACATTTGCATTTCATCATGCTCCCGTTTTGAGTCTTCTGCACCAAAGCAGTGATGGTGTTGACAGCCAGTGAGTTTAAACCCGCTAACCGTGACAATGTGCAAAGTCCGTTTTCTTTGAGCTTCACTTCACTCTTTCACGCATGCATTGGCTCGAACGTTAGCGGCTTGTAATCTTTTTCATGAATGAACAGACTTTGAAACTACAAACGGTACATCATTTAGGCTTTTTTAGACCTTTTGTGGTGGAATCACAGCCTCAAATCTTGACATTCTATGAATATAACACGTTATGTTTCCCAACGGAGGTGTTGACGGGGTTTTTTTTTAATGAAACGGTTCTTTAAATATACTATTTAAGGCGCTTCGCCCGCAACATCCTACAGCGGTGCGCTGGGTAAATATCCGGGGAGGCACTAGCCAAGCACAAGGAAGCTTTGAATCAAACCGAGTGGCTCCGTCCGTCTAGTGAGACGGCAAACATACACGTATGGTAAATATACTGTACATCACTCTTACCAGCACTGGTGCCCACTCCGCTGCCGAGGTCTGGACCCATGAGGCCACCTGAGGATAGGACAGAGAGGACATTAAACGAGACTGACACTCCAAACACTCCTGACTGCCGCCTCCTCCAGACGGACCGTTACACATTCCAGCGTTCATTAAGATACATGCATGAAATGAAAAAACCTCCCGTCTGAAAGTCTATGCGAACCCACAAACCCCTGTTCGGCCCTATGGAGAAGATGTCACCGTCCAAGAAAAACCTTTGAAAAGTCTGCGCGGTTTCAGACGTCGCGCTCCGTGCCAAGACTCATATTTAGTTTTGCTCCTGTAATACGAAGCAAATGGTTCCAGTATAGCCAAGGATAATGACAGGACAGACTCTGCGGTCTGAAGGACTCTGACCAGAGCACAAAATAGATCTTTTAGACAATAATAACAAGCCCACAGAAGGATTACACTTCCCACACGTATGCCACCACAGACTGTCTTTTTCTACCACTTTGTTCATTTTTCTTCCCATTACTTCCTCTGTCTTTCTATATACATTCTAAACGCACATATCTGGATGTTTCTTTTGGTACTGTGGACCTTTAGAAATTAAACTCAGATTTCATATTTATATTTCATCGAAAGCATATTATAGTTATACTTCTGTTTCATTACAACATTAAATGATTGGAAATATATATAAGTACTGGTAAATAATATTTGTGCTACCAGGCACACATTATATATATAAAAAGTGTCATAAAATATATTATTTAAAAAGTATTTATATTGATTTTTATACAAATATATATGGAAAGTGTGTGTGTGTATATATATATATATATATATATATATATATAAATATATATATATGAAGAGTTCAGATGCAAAAGCCTCTAAGTGCCATTTGAAATTTTCTTCTAGAATGATAATTTTTATCAAGCTTGTATATTTAAGTTCAGTGATTTCACTTAAATGGCAATGATAATTACCTATTAATTGTTATTTAAGTGAAATTACTGAACTTAAATATACAAGTTTGATAAAAATCATCATTAAAGAAGAAAATTTCAAATGGCATTTAGAGGCTTTTGCATCTGAACTCTTCATATATATATATATAAAATTCACAATACATTTTTTTATTTTATTGTATAAAAGTTTTATTGTATACATATAAATGTTTCAAATCATTTAACTAACTTAATAAATTATATTTTTAATTATTATTTAATAGTTTTATAGTTTACTCATTTTAAGTTAAAAATAAAATATATTATTTGAAAATATATATTTAAAACTACATAAATATACAATATATAATATGCATATATATTAGCGCTGTCAAATTGATTAATCGCATCTATTTTAATCACATGCATATATACAGCATGTGTGATGTGTGTGTATAAATATACACACACACACATGTATACAGTATATATATATATATATATATATATATATTAGGGCTGTCAAACGATTTATCGCAATTAATATACTGTATATTTAAGAAAAAAATATTATTTATGTATAAAATATTTATATTTATAATATAAATTATGTATAAATCTATATACAGTATATACATGAAAATATTTCTTGTATAAGTATGTGTGTGTATATATATAAAATAATTATACATAGTGCACCCACATATTTTATGTAAACACAAACTTTTATTTTGGATGTGATTAATCGCGATTAATCGTTTGATATCCCTAATACATATATATATATATATATATGTATATTATATATAAATATTTTATATATTAATAATATTTTTTCTTAAATATACATGCATGTGTGTGTACTTAATGTGTGTATATATATATATATACATATAGTATATGAAGAGTTCAGATGCAAAAGCCTCTAAGTGCCATTTGAAATTTTGTTCTAGAATGATCATTTTTATCAACCTTGTATATTTAAGTTCAGTAATTTCACTTAAATAACAATTAATAGGTAATCTTCATTGCCACTTAAGTGAAATTACTGAACTTTAATATACAAGCTTGATAAAAATTATCATTTTAGAAGAAAATTTCAAATGGCACTTGAATGAATGAATTCAATATATGAAACATGAATTAAAATCCCCTCTGGCGATTAACACATTTGACAGCACTAATATGTATTAGAAATATATATAAATATAACCAATAAAATATATTTTTCTCATTTCAAAAATGTTTCATTATATTTGAATAAAAAAAGAATAATAATTTGGTTAAAAATTATGATTTTCACATTTTCAGATTAATAGTCTGGGTCTGGTAAAACAAATCATCATCTTTTATGTAAAGATCTAAATATATATCTCAGATCTAAAATCAGTATGTTTTCTTAATAATCAATCCTTGCGACATTTGAAGAAACACCCATACACATGTGCTCCGAGTACGGATAATGTGTTTTGATGAATCCTAAACTGACCGAGCTTCCTCTCGATGAAACCTAGGCCACAAACGCAAACTTTTCAAAAGGCAGAACGGGAGTTAAAAGGAAAATATGGTCATCTTTATTTGCCCCTTGAAAAACGGGAGTTCCTTTATATAAGCAGCCAAAACTCCCATAGAGACATACACTTTTTGGGGAGGGGGGGCTCTGGGACAACCTCAGGAGTTCTGCTGAGTACACAGTGTTTATATTAACGGCCCGGCCCGGCACAGCTGAGTATGGCTGAAAGAAATATTTGAGCGTATGTAATGATCTGTGTGCGGTGTTTGAATACATGCGAGGTGTGTTTTCATAGCCTCAGTGGAGCTGTTGGTGGTCCTCAGCAGAGCTGCTTTCTAATGATGTGTAAATGAACATTATTTGAAACTGTAGTCCGGTCCGGAGTCCCCGGAAAAGCGGAGAGCCCGGTCGCGGGGTCAGTACCTGTGTTGCCTGCACTCGGGGGCCGGTGGGTCACTCCAGGGGACATGCTGTTCCTCTGAAGGGAGGGGTGGGCCAGCGGCAGCAGGTTGGGGTTCAGGGACGCTCCTGGGTGGCTGTAGATCAGGCTGTTGTGGTTGCTCACCGGGATTGAGACGGGCATGTCGTAATTAGACTGGGGGATGGCCTATAAACCCAAATTCATGGAAATCATTCAATATTGTAAAATGTTTACATTCACAAAGATCAAAAATTAGATTTTTTTTTTTTGGTTGGTGGGACATCTGAAACATTTACTGCACTTACACACAGTCTCTGCCTGCTGATCATCAGGTCAATGTCCTCGTTGATTTTGCGATATTTGTCCTCAGATTCTGGACTGTGGCCTGAATCTTCAGCATCAATATCAGGACTGTCACAGCCGTTTAGACCCTTCTTCCTCAGAGTCTGAAACAAATACACAAAAACAGTCAACGTGTGAAGATATAAGCATTAAGCATACTGTCCACTAGCACAGAAAATGACTATATATATATATATATATATATACAGTGTTGGGTGTAACTAATTACTAAGTAATTAATTATTGTAATTTAATTACTTTTCCCTTGAAAATGTAAAGTAAGGGATTACTCTTCATTTATCTGTAATTTAATTACAGTTACTTCTGATGTAATTGAGGTAAATACTGTGTATAGATCAATCCGATCTCACAGCAATTCATATGCATTTTACAAGGTGTCTAAATCGTACGACCGCACTCGTACAAATTCGTATGAATTAGTCGTCTTGTAAAATATGTATAAAAAAAAGTGTGAAATGTCATGAGATCAAACATAAAACAATAGTGGGTTCAACATCAAAATGTATTGTCTGATGTTAAAAAGTATGTTTTTATAATGTAACCTTCTCCTTGGTCAGTTTAAAGATAATTCATGCAATTTTATAGTATTTATTTGAAAGAATTAAAACAGATTCATGTCTATCCTTAAATTATTCAGCTGGTTGAGATTGATATGGGATTTTGAAAGTAATTAGTAATTAAAAGTAATTAAATACTTTTTAGAGAGAGTAATTAGTACAGTAATCTAATTACACTGTTGAAGAGGTAATTAGTAACTTGTAATTAATTACTTTTTTAGAGTAACTTACCCAACACTGTATATATATATATATATATATATATATATATATTATGACAATACAAAAATGCAATAATATGCTTTGTGGACAATATGTATTGCGTATAGTTCACCCAAAATATAAATTACAGTGTGAGAAAAAAAATTCAGGTTTTAGTGTCAGTACATTACTGCTATATAATGTTGAATATAATTTATAATAATGCAATGGGGGAATATTTGCTAGTCCTGATAATGCCAAATGTCTTATGTTACCAGTAAAAAGTGGCCTACGTTGTTTTAAATATACTGTATATAGTCAGTTATAGAGTGCAAGCATATTCATCGAAAATAATTCTGTATTTTTTTAGCTTCAGAATCATGAATATTTGTATTCTGGTGTCACCATTGTCCTTAGCATTGGGTTACCAGCACCAAGACCAAGTTTATCCATTTACACACACAAAGTAATACCAAATTTAATCAGTAGTAAATTTTTTGTTAACCGTGACGTGGGTATCGTTCCACTCCTAATATATATATATATATATATATATATATATATATATAAATAAACGTAACCATTCCACATGTATTCAATCCCCAATTTCACTTTATGAATATGGGGCATTTTCCTGTTTGACCACACGAGGGCTACATTTGAAAACAAATCCCGCTTTTCCAGCCTTTGATTCATCTGAAGAGCCTGATCCTTTCATCTGAAGCCTCTGAGAGTAGTTTGATCAAACTTAAAATGCAACTTTACAGTAATCACTTTGCTGTCATTAGCGGTGCTCGTTACGCAAAACAACTCTATCATTATTACCCATGCCAGAAGCTAGAATGTTTGATTTTTGTTTAAATGTTTTCCATGTCAGAATAAGACGCCCTCAGAGTGTTTCGTCTGTGTTTTTGTGAGTTAAATTCCGGGTAAAAACTGATCTAAAGTGACACAGAGCGGCTTGGCTTACTGTATCTTTCTGCTGGGTCGCAGAAACAATTCCACTCATTCAAGACATCTCCACCTGTCAGGGCCTTTGCACCTGTCCAACAAATCTCCTCGGCTCAAGGGGAGGGGGAGGGTCCGGAGCCGCAGCCAATCACGGCCTCAAACCCCGGGGATGGCCGTAGAAGGCTATTTTTTGCCCCAGTACCACCCAGCAGCAGCATCCCAGAAACCCTACACCAGCCGTCTGTGGGTCGCTGACACCTCCAGCGCACAAGTCCGACCCAGCTCAGTGCTTTTAGCAGCACGGCTGGATCCCAAAGCCTGACATCAGCAGACTAAACATTCAGACCGGCACGAAGCGCTCCAGACCAACAGGGGGAGGGTCGTGTTCAGCCGAGCATTCCTGTTTAGTTCATTACACACCAAAGACAGGACAACGACGACGAGAGCGGGACAGAACTTTAATGTCTCGGTTTTTTTTATAGATTAAATGGCGAACAAGTGAAGATGTTTGCTTAAAATACTAGTTGTTCACCCAACAAAAGAAAATGTACACACATTAAATATAAATATTACAGTTCAGTTTTAGTTTTTATTTAGTAATTCGGCAAGTTTTTTTTAGTGGATAAACACACTTATCAGTTAATTGCCAAGTTGCCATTTTCATTTAATCTAAGTTTACATCTAATATTTATAATTTATATTATTTCAGCTTTCAGTTAAAATCCCCCTGTAATGTCAACATGTGGTGTTTTTAACATGATTTAAGACAAACCATGTGCAAATTCATAAAACAACACCATTGCTGAGTATTTTGTCCACTGCAGTGTCTCAAAAACATAGTTTGAAATCGCTGGTGTTTCTGACGTCACAAACTACCTGTAACGTGCGATCGTCAACGAGGGGATCTCTGAGCTGGCTTGAGTAAGTGGAGGTGGGGCTAATTTGCATATTCATAAAACTACGTATACTAAATGAGGCAAGGGTGTAGAGTTACTTTCAAGCTATTTTAAGGCATGAAGTTTTGAAGATGATTTTTTGTTTCAAAGAAAAGACATTTAAATATGTCATTTGGGTAATCAAAGGTGAGTTTAAGGGATAAAATGATTGACTACAGGGGGACTTTAATGATAATAAGCTGGTGTTTTTTGTTGTTTTTTGTCAAAATATCTTGTTTTGTGTTCTGCAGAAGCTCAATATGAACTCAAATTTGTCTTCAATTTCTCCCAAGACCATATTTTCTGGCATATACCATCCAGATTCATTTTATATCTCTATATTTTTAGTGTATGCCAGCCATTTATGCATAATTTAACTTTAACAGAGAAACATCTGAGACAAAGTTACCCAAACATGGCTTAAGTGAGCATCTAAACCCATATACTTTTGCATTTTGTTGCGTTACGAAATGTCCCAAGTGAGATTCATAACAGAATTAAAGCAGCATTTCATTGCCATAAAAAGCTCTAATTTATATCCATTTTAATTTTCCAAGGACTTATAATTTGATTGATTCTAAGATCCGAAATTAGTCTGTTTGTCAATGTAAATGCCATTTTGTTGCATAAAACCTCTCCTGAAAAGATTGATGTCCCCTGCCTTTATCAATGTTTGTTGATTCATTTGCTTCAAGTAAATAAAAAATGAATTGAGCTATGCCTAAAGTTGAAGTGCGCTGTCATGAGGGCCGAGAGGAGAAGAAAGGAGAGACGCAGCCATCAGTGCCTCCTTCTGCTCCTAGTCCTCTCAACTCTATGGAGACTTGCTCCTAATTAAACCAGCGCCGCATCCCTCTCCCACACGGCATCCACAGCCCCAGTCCGTCCGCACGTAGACACGGCGTCCTATATAGCGTGCGATCCGGTAACCTTCAGCGGAGAAATTATGTTGTACGTGCACTAGCAGGTGGTAACGTGTGGCGACAGCTGACCGATGCTGTTTGTTGGCCAGCAGCTGACGAACCGACTGAGTGTGTCACGTCACCTTCAAACCTCTTCTGAGGTCCACATGGGTGGTCTCCCCTCACCTCAAACCAGGCTCATTACAATCCACAGTGTCAGGAGACTCGTTAAACAAGGGCAAAGTCTGAGAAACGGGAGTCAAACGGCACACACACCAACCCAGAGGACAATTATATTACTCATAGGTTGCTCAATCATTGCTCAGGAGACTTTTTGGAGTTCTCATTCACATTTCCTCTCAGCTTTGCTACTGATGTTTCTCCTCGAAGGCACGAGAAATAAAATGTGACAATTGTTGAGTTCTTAATTATGTTATTTACATTGTCTCAGATGTTTCTCAGATGTTGTAAGTTTCAGAACTGAAAACATCCTTGTTAGATAAAAAGCTTTTATTGACACCAGGCTCAGCAAATGACTTTTTTTTCAAAGTGGACGGCATGAAAACGATGTCAAATGAGGTCAAAGAGGATAAAACACCAAGAAGATCAATGCCTACTTCAACAAGGCCGGTTTTGCCCCACCAACCGATTTGTGCATTGCACGCATAGCTAAATAACATAGATTCCTACCTCGTGATGACAAACCGGATCGAGCTACCAAGTAATACAGAATATTGTGCAGTGCCTGGTTGTGGAAGAAGACAGTCGCTGCATAAACTTCCTCTGGATTCCAATAGGCAGACTGATCTCATGAAGTAGCGCAATTCGTATTTCCATTTTTGGCGTGCTATCAAGACGCATAATCGCTTTTCAGCGTGTTTATGAACGCCGTTGACTTAACGTTATATAAATATATGACTTACCTCAACCCCATCCCTAAACTTAACTGTCACTGGGGTTAATGGCATTTATGACTGGAGATTTGACTGCGTGTTCAGACAAGCGGAATGACGCGAACGTTAATGGCGTAGACATACGCGGATACACGCGGATAGCTCAAAATGCGTAGAGATAACACGCCACTTGACTCGAAAGTGGCGTGTATGTTTACACAAAAGTCATGATGTCATGTTGCAATAGGACTGCATAGATAAACTTTATTTTTAATGAAGTTCCAGCTGATGAGGTAAAACATCCTCCGTCTGTTCGCTTTATTTCACAGAGGATTGTTTTGTAAACAAAACTGGATTTGCAGACCGATTAAGAGTAAAGAACGGTGCTGTGCCATCTATGTATGGGCGAATCATTACGGTTGCCATTTTACAACATTGGACGTTTTCAGAACAATTTCCCCCACGTGCATCGACGGGTGAGTTGAAACTCATTATATTATGCAAAACTGTTATCCACTCACAGCAGTGGGCGTTTACTTCCAAGTCTTCAGTGCGAGACGCCCATAAAAACCGAGCGTTTTTCAGCTAGGCTCAAAACTAGGGTAGAAAATAGCCTATTACTTATTCATTTTGATGTTTTTGAA